TCAGTCAAGTCAGTCTGGGATCCATTCCTTCAGTCGAGACAGTCTGGGATCCATTCCTTCAGTCAAGACAGTCTGGGAACCATTCCTTCAGTCAAGACAGTCTGGGATCCATTCCTTCAGTCAAGATGAACCCATTCCTTCAGTCAAGACAGTCTGGGATCCATTCCCTCAGTCAAGATGAACCCATTCCTTCAGTCAAGTCAGTCTGGGATCCATTCCCTCAGTCAAGACAGTCTGTAATCCATTCCCTCAGTCAAGTCAGTCTGGGATCCATTCCTTCAGTCAAGTCAGTTTGGGATCCATTCCTTCAGTCAAGTCAGTCTGGGATCCATTCCTTCAGTCAAGTCAGTCTGGGATCCATTCCTTCAGTCAAGTCAGTCTGGGATCCATTCCTTCAGTCAAGTCAGTTTGGGATCCATTCCTTCAGTCAAGTCAGTCTGGGATCCATTCCCTTAGTCAAGACAGTATTAGATCCATTCCCTTAGTAAAGTCAGTTTGTAATCCATTCTTTCAGTCAAGTCAGTCTGTAAATCATTCCCTCAGTCAAGTCAGTCTGTACTCCATTCCTCCAATCAAGATAGTCTGTGATCTATTTCTTCTTTCAAATAAGTCTGTGATACATTAAATTCCCTTTTGTCAAATAAGTCTGTAATCCATCCCACTCAGTCAAATGAAACTGTTCAGTCGTGTCTTTCTGTTCTTCATCCCAATCAAGTCAGTCCACGCAGTCAAGTCATTCTGTGAAGTGTTCTCCTTAATCATGTCAATCTGTTCATTCCATTTGGGCATGTCAGTCTGTGATCCAGTTTATTCAGGCACATTAGTCTACAGCAGTGTTCAGACATTATTTTAGCTAAAAACTGTAAAATTAAATAGAATTGCTCACCATGGGAAGTCGGTTGTAAAATGAAAACAAACTGAGCGTTTAGACACCATGTTCACCACTTCATGCCGGGTGGAGTTAGCTGTATGCATAACCTGCTGCCGGGCAATTTTCATGATTTTCTGGTTTCAAGATTCTTCAAAAATTCATGTCTTCCTTTTCTGGACGTGTACACCCAAACGAATGACTGTCCTGTGGCAAGTTTAATCTGACAAGCAACCTCCATTGACACATGAGAATTGCAGCCAGGCCTGCCACCCAGTAAAGAGCCCCATTGTGCGATGTTGTATAATTCCTCTTTGTTCTGGAAATTTAGCCCAGTGCATTGCTGAAAATGGTCTCGCTATGTAGAGCGATTGACGGTTGACTCCAGTGTGAAATTTGCGGTTTAGTACAGTGGCATGTTTGTTCAACTTGTGCCCACAGGCAGAGGGCAGTGTAATAGTGGAGTGCATGCGGGCCATGAAGGAGAAATGGGTCATTCTATAAATTGCATCCTACTTTTGTTATTTGATATGGAAATATCACTAGAATTGATTTCAAGCTATTGCTATTTGTTTGGCAGGTAATTTTCATTTATTCATCACTCTTGGAAATTAGAAAATGTGCTCTGAACTGTCAGATATGACAGGGACACGAAAAAATGGACCCCTAATCTGTAGAATTACCTAAATACCCATTCCCTTCGGGGGCACAAGTGTGCTTTGCTTCAAGGTTGATTGTAAGACATGAGTGTGTGTCAATTTGAGGATTGATTGCTGGTAAGACCTTTCCCTTCCCATGTATAATTTCTACTTCCCCCTAAACTTTCCCATCAAATTTTATCACCCAAGCACTATTTCCCTTCCCACAGTGTAATTTTGTATTTCAACAGAAAACTTCCCAATCAATTTTTATGTAACAAATTTACTACTACAACTTGTAGAACTTTAACAAGGAGTCATTGACAGACAGAAATGTCTTGCTGTGGACTGTACACAGTGGAGAACTTCTCAAGGAGACGGTCGATGACCGGACACAACTTGAACCGGCAGTCAGGGCAGTTCTCCAACATGGCACCATTGTCATTGAAGTGCAGGGCCAGCAGGATGGCAAGGAACTGGTCTCAGGGCGTGACGGACAGGAACAGGCTTGTCTTCAGCAGTGGGTCAGTCGACCAGTAGCTGTGAAGGGTGGGGTGTTTTGTGATACCCATCATGATGCAAAGGCCCAGAAAGGCTTTCAGTTCTTGGGTATTCACATCAGTCCATGACCTTATCTGTGCCGATGTCATGGCAGGTCTCTGTTTGGCAAATTGGTTGGTTTCTTGGGCGATCTTGTGATACAGTACATCGTCAAAAACACCCCAAATGACTCACTGCAGGTGGAACTGCATTATTGGTGGGAGTTGGTGGCACCATCATTACCGGTAAAGCTGTACTTCAGCGGCGTGCTGTCCTCATCCTTCCACTGGAACGGTGAAGCACTGGTGCTTGTCGATGCGGATGCGGTGGCCTGTCTCTTTTGCTTGGTGTATAACGCTAAGTATACCTTTAAGCAGTGCATGGGCATTGTGGGGTGAGCTGTGTCAATCAATGTGGCAAGGGCACAGTGAATGCTGGACTGCTGTTTGTCTTCAAATGACTTCAAACAGCGCGTGGGCCATGAGGTTGAACTGTGTCATTCATCAGGCACATCAGCATAATGTTTTGTGAGTGTTGAATTTTTGGCTATTTTGTCTCAAAAATAGAGTGGCTAACTTAGCCTTTGAAAATAAATTGAAAAGTCTCTTTTTTGTGTGTGTTTTCTTCTTTTCCAAAATAAAGTAAACAAATTTTTATATCAAAAGGAAAATAAATTGACCACCTGGGTCATAAACAAAAATAAGATATGAAATGAAACGCCGTCGTTGTAGCTCACCAGAATATATTAGCTGTATACTACAACCCGGTTCACCACAACGACGTATGCGAAGAAAAGGATGAAAATTGACAACCGGAATCACCCAGAACGAAGCACAGGAACTCGGAGTAGTGAAGTGACCGCTGTGACCATCAGCAACACAGGAAAGAAAAAAAGAGAGGGACGCATGGCAGTGGGGGCTATTTAAAAAGAAATTGGTGATGCACTTCACCGCTCACGCTACGTAATTAACGAAAGGGCAATGAAAGAAATTCGACTAGGGGCTACTACAAATGAATGCTGCACAGCTGTATTGTTTTTACTAATGTGGCCAGATTCCACAAGGGTGCAGCGGTACCGTATCGCTCATCGTTGGAGTGCTGGAGCACTTTTATCCTTGCAGATAATCTGCAGCAGGTGCTGGCAGCGGCAAACAATGGTACTGTTTCAAACAGATGGACTACCTCTGTTAATGATCAGCACTCTGTACTGAGAGCTTATAAACCTTGATTGGCAAGTCCCAGCTGCTCGGTCTTTTGTTTAAGTATTTTCCAAGTTCGGTCACCCTAGCCATGAATAAAGGCCCAGTTCCCTGGCCCTGGGAACCCATTGTTGCCCATCAGTGATAAAATTACTTCCGCTGATGGCATAAACCTTTGACTGACAGCAAGTTAACTTTCTCTATTAAAGAAGGCCCAGCAACTTTGATTTTTTTTTTTTTAAGAAAGTTCCGATTTCTGGCACCCCGGCCATGAATTTACGGCCAAGGTCTCCAGTACTGGGAACCCCGGCAACAAGTGGTTAACATGGTGAGTTCAACTCACAATAGTTTATCTACTCATCTCAGGGTCATGTGTAACTTCCGCTCATTACATAATGCTCACACTAGATCATGTACATAACCACATAATTGTACAATAGAGCTGCATTGAAAGACATTCATCACATTCTTGCATACTCTTGAAGTGTTTGTACCACTGGAAAATAATCACTTTGCAGAAATCTACTGGATGAAATGTTGACTAATATTTGATTAATTATTAGTTGTTATTAATAATAACACACTACTTTTGCATGCATGCAGGGCACCTACCAACTAAGTTATGCCACATAAAAACCTTTTATATATTAAACTCTCGTCTAAGGCTGTTCAGACAGTGTACAAAATTTTTAACTGTTTAGCACTAAGCCAACTCTCTGAGTTGGTTTAATGTACATCACCATTTTAGTGGTGAGATAAAACTGACTCGGTTTAACTTAAAAGCATTCAGACCTTGCTTTAACATAAAAGTTCAACTACATGTAAGTGAGTTTAAAGGGTAGCTGCAATAAATTTGTTTGAATACAAACCTTCAAAATGTACCCTTGTATCCCCTTGTGTTAACCATATTTACAAATGTTGTTTCACTGTTTGGAAGGGTTTTTACTACCTTTTTGGCTTTTATGCTAATGAGATTTTCATATTCATGAGCAAAACTGTGATGTTATCCCAGGAAGAAAGCCTCAATGTTACATTGATTTGTACACAAACAAAGTCTTGCATTTTGGGTGAGTTTTCTCTTGCTGATTCATTGTCGTTTATGTGCACATCAATATGCAAGCATTAAACCAAATCTCAGAAATGTTTCAATAAGTAAATTCTGGGTCTTCAGCTTGAAAGGAACACTTTTTTAACTGAAATGTATCTTCCCTAGATGACATCACAGCAACAGTGCCCTCAGTTGTTTAGGAAAGCATAAATACCTTTAAAGTTTTGAAAAGTGCTTTTTTCAATGCATGTAACCGAATTGCAATGCAAGAAAGTGTTCACACATGGCAGGTGACAACAAGTTAGAGAAAATGTATCTTATGATCCATTTAATAAGCCTTTTGTAAGTTAACTTTGACCCAGACCTGGTACTCTGAGTTCTTTAATTCACATATCTTGAATTCTCCATACTAAAACCACTGTTGCTATACCTCTTGATTCGGGGCAAGCTTTTGCTTAGTTACATAAGAGACACCTTGCAATAATACACTGTTTTCAATGGATAAGAAGGGCATGAAGGAACCAGTCCATTCCAGAGAAGGTGGTCGCTATGCTAAAGCTTGCCCCGAATCACAAGGTTTAGCAACGGTGTCTTTAGTCTGGGGAATTCAAATCTTTATGTTCATGTGCAATCAGATAATTCAGTGTACCAGATTTTATTCAAATTTAACTCGCAAATGGCTTATTCAGTCAAGTCAGTTTGCTGTGCATTCCATTCAGTCACATCTGTTTATGATATATTTATTCAAATCTTTTTTATTTACTTACTTCACCCTTTATGTGCTAATTTCTCTTACTATCCAGAGGGGTCCAGCAGGTGATCAGATGGAAACCAGTGATGTACAGGAAACCACCGAGAGAACATATTTTGTTCCAACTGCACTACATAAATCTTCCGTGATCAAAAGGGATCCACAGAATCCAGCATCTTACTTCATCTTTTATGTGGATTTCAAACAGATTGTACCTGGTATGTCTTATCATTTTGATTGATGAAACCACATCTGAAAAGCACGAATTCCTCAATGAATGATGCTGTATTGTAGGGAACCTTGGAGAGAATATAGAAATCATGCAAATTCCAATTTTGGTTTTCTTTCAAGTCTTGTCAGACATTTGTTGATTGCAGAGATGCCAACTTATATAACTTAATTTTTACCATTGTATGATCCAGACTAAGATTTTACAGTTTCCTACTCTGAGGTTCAACAACTCTATGTAAGCTAGCCTGGAGCCAGCCTCAGAAATGTGTTACTGGCATTCTGCAATTTGTGCGTACAAGGTGCATGAGTAGTGTTAGAAACCAGCAAGGTTGAACCACCCGCTCACCCCATTTAATGCTATGATGAACTGGGGTGAATAAGCACGCGTGCACTTCATTGGCAACGTGATATGTATGTGTTCATGCACTGTACATGTACATCATCATTGTTACACATGTGCATTATCGTCTTGACCATCACGATTGTGCTAAGTTGACTGGGGTGGAAGGTTTTCTTAGTTTTGATCCTGGGATTATAGGTGAGCAACTGGACTTTGTTTTGCCCAATGGCAACAAGTCAGCAGAAGTTCCGGGATGAATACACCAAAAATGGGCCTTTATTGCAAGGTCTCGTCATGGAGAAGCTTACATGTTTTGCATCACATGCAATGGTGACAGAGATATTGCCCATGCTGGATCTTACAACATTAAGAAACACATTAAAACAAAAAAAAGAGCACTGGTATAGTGTTCCAGAGGTTGCAGGTTAAAATCCTGCTCCAGTCAATTGCTTTGTTCATCTTTTTAATTAAAAAAAGGCTTTTTGACTTTTCACAGGCAGCTTTTATTACAACAAATTTCAACTCGAATTGTTTGAATGTGTTTCTGTTGAAATGTATATTAGGTAAAAGGTAATTCGGTATCGTGACAGGATTACACTTTTTCATTTTGAAAAGTTGGCATCGGGCCTGTGACAAGATGAAGCACTTTCCAAACTTTGACATTTCTTTGACAAACTGATATAAAAATATTGAAAATATTTCTGCTAGTTAGCTCACAGCACTAGGTTCCTCTATAGATGAATCCAATGGGCCATGTGTGAAAGGGCACCCTCATTTGACTCTGCCATTTAAGGGGCATTCTGACCGGTTAAACACTACTCGCTACCAGTGTCAACTCCGATTTCAAGTGCCCTTGTTTCATGTTTTCATAGTTTTAGCATTAGGGCCTATTTCAGATGTATGTTTCAGTGCAATTGCCATGGATTCTTGGACGGAGGATGTTCATCAGTGGCCAAATTTTGAACTTCAGGGTGAGTTTAAACAAAAAACCATGGCATTGCAGTGCTCAGCCTAGACTAGGCCTACTTTATTAAATTCGGTGTTGGTGAGCAGAGAATGTATTGTTTCAGAAGCCATTTTATGTCATTAAAAAGGATAAAAAGCTTATTAAAAAATTATTAAATCTTTTTGACTAAGTGATCTTTGACATTCTTCAATGAGTGAATTAGCTCACTGCCCCATTCCTAGTTAATTTCTGTTTAGAAAGGATTTTGTTTTTGTTGAATCAATTGTGGAAGAAAATTGTCGAACAGGAAATGATGGTGATGCATGTGTAATGAAGACCATGTCCTTTGTTTTTTGTTGTTGCTTTGTAATGTTTTTTGTCTCAACCTACCTTCAGCTAAATTAAAACTAAAAGGGGAACAAGGAAAATCTCTGCTCATTTGTATAAGCTTTAGCCTATTATTTGCTATTCACCTAACATTAACGATGTTTTGTTCACTCGATAGATATTTATAACTACTTTGTAAATGCCTCTGCATGCGATGAACAGCCCAATCAAAACTTTTGAAGCATCACTGAGGGCATCAACTACCTGAACTCAGGATGGGTTGGCACAATTCAACACCGCTACAATGGAACAACATCCTGAGAGGAGAGGAGAGGTGAGATTTTCTCAGCAAGTCACCAGCTATCATCAAGTGGAGATACGTGTTGACAAAGACAACAGAAAAATCAAGTCTGTTAAGTGTGAGTGCACTGCCTCTAAAGGTAATTGTTGCAGTTATTCAGCAGGCCTAGCCTTCAAGATAACTGAGGCATACAAGAGAGGTTTCATTAGCATTACCTGTACAGACAGTTTGTGGAATTGAAGCACTCAACAGTTCCTGACAAGTTAAAAACATTCTCAATGACATTCCAAAGTCAACAATAAACCATGCTCTTGCATTTGAGACTGATAATGATTTTAAAAAGCACCTGAATAGTCCTCACATATGTGGACTGTCATCCGTTAAAGGAACAATTTTGGACCAGATGCTGACATCAACTAGTGCACGTCCTAGTTATCCTGCTTCACCCCGTTCATGGGCTTCATGACTGCAGTCTTGAGTGTCAACCTTGCAGAGACTTTTTTCACAAGCATGCTCTGTTAACATACCATGATGCACGAACACTTGCATCCAAAACAGTTGACCAACTACACCTGTATCAGCCTTGTGGACATTACAGAGGAAGCTCCGAATTACCAGTAGCTCAGCTGCCAGCATTACAAAGAAACTAGATACAGATCCTACAAAGTGGATTACTAACCACATAAATCCAAGCTTTCTTGGAAATGTATCTACAGAGCATGGGCATAAATACAAAACAACTGTAAGAGAAGTCTTTGAAAAAAAAAATGGAAAAAAGATACAAACTGCAGGATTGGTAGTGAACCCTAGTGAGAGTTGGCTTGGAGCAAGTCTGGATGGAATAGTTGATGATCAAATAACTCGAGAAATCAAATATCCCACTGAGAAGAGGTCAAAGCGGTAGGGTAGTACTGTTGCAGGACTAGTGGATAGTGGGATGTATGATGTTGGGAGTGATGGTACCTCTGTGACAAACTGCAGCAGCTAGTGGCTATTATACCCAGGTCCAATTGGCAATATATTGTGCAAAGCGATGCAAATGCAAGTTCATGGTTTGGTCAAGGAAAGACTTCACCATAGTAGATGTCAACTTTCACAGTGTTTGGTTTTAACAGCGTCCCACTCATCTGCAAAATTTCTACGTCAAGCATCTTCTGCCAAAGTTAACAGACTTGATTCTTTCAAAAGAGCTAAAAGTTGTTACAACTACTAAGTTAGATAAAGTTTTGACAATAGAAATTAAAACCAACAACTTTGACATTGACAGCCAAGAGTGAATTACCTGAATGTTTATTTACTTCTGTAGACCTCCTTAATAACAAGATGTTTTAGGACTAAACATTACAGTTGAATAGCTGTATTGCAAATTCCTCAGACATAATGAAACATGTCTTTTGAAGGTACCTTGCATGAAAATTGCATTATGAGCCAAGATAATGAAGAAATATGAAATCTCAAATAGGGTGTAACATTTTTTCATTACAACCTACATGCACCACAAAAAAGCTCTCTTATTTTTACAGTGCAACTGTGCATTCGTTTGGTCTTATTTATAGACAAAAGAACATGCGAGCTTGGGAACCAAAATTTCCTTTGTATAATATATTATCAGGTTTTAACTCTGCCCAAAACATGCCTCACAATGTGTTATTCTTGTATTGACAAGAATTGAGGAATTGTTCACTTTTACAAGTACATTTGGAATTCGCACAACAGTTTGGTAATCTGGTTTCAGATTTATCTCCATTCTATATAAATTAAATAATGTAGAAGTTAAAAAAACTGAATTTATGACAGCATGGGGGGGGGAGTCAGAGCCAATGCTTGTACTGGGTCTGCCCCCTGTAATGTACACAATTCACAGGAAAAAATAGTATAAATATTAATATTACAGAAGTGTGAAGGTCTTTATCACTTAAGTTAAATAAATATGTAGAGAATAACCATCCTAATCCCTAGTTTACAACTGTAGTTACAACTTAGACAACTGTAGATATATTGTGCCCTTAACTGTCATTGTCATTAACCGCCACATTGAGTAGCAGTTTTTTATAATACCTTTTACAAGTGCACTTGACGTTAGTTACTTGTAAAAGAAGCTTGAGACTGCTATTTTATCCAACTGGCTATTATAAAAATATTCTTATGTACATGGTGTGCATAATCTTGGAATCTGCCAAAATTGTGTGAATTCGGAAACAGAATATCTCTGAATTACTTGAGTAAAGTAGATACACCTACTTTACACACACTTGATATTGAGATTTGACCATTTCCAAGATGACACACGCAGCATATTTTCTTTTGTTCTTTGGTGCCAACTGCTGAGATACACTTTACAAGTGCATGTTGAACTAACCTACATACACACATACATACATGTACATGTATTTGGCTGTTATAAATGTCATTTGTAATGGACAAGAAATGCACTGTATGTTAACTCCACATACTGTTTGAACTATTCCCAAGTACATGTAGTTTGTTCAATAGCCCTAAGCCTATTCCAAGGGTTGCCGGTTAGACAAAAAAATTCCTTACGTGTGAGCTATATCCACCATTATTTAAATTACCATGAATTTTGTGTGTAAACATTTACATGTATTCTATGTTCTATACACCACACAATAGTCTTTATTAATTTAATAGAGCCATATTATATTGCACAAGTTTGATTCCAGGAGTTTGGTTTTATGAATGAAATAGAAACTTCTGGTTGAATTAGTCTACTACAAAGATTCCATAGCATTCTTTTATGTTTTTTAGGCAAATATGAGGAAGATTTGTGAACAACCTTGGTTATGTATGGAAATATACAGTGACTTATTCCTCTAGAAGAACAATGTCATCGTCTTCATGAGACTCATTTGCTGTGCTTTCCTCATGTATATCCTCATTAATAAAACAAGGCTGCAGATTGCAGAGTCCAGCACAGGTGACTAAAATATCATCTACAGTCTTCACATGGCTTGGAATGATAGTGTGAAACATTTTAATCTCCTGATGGCCCTGTCTCCATGATTTGTGCATTTGTAATACGTCTGGATTCTGTGACACTCCTCTGGTAGACACCTGTCCGTTAGTCCTCTGGTGAAGGCTGGAATTGACAGCTTCATACCCCATGGTAGAATATCTTTGATGGTGAAGCCATGGTTAGCTAAAACTTCATCTCCAGGAAGCAAGTGTTTCACAAATCCTGAATTCTGAGAGATGAATGTGTCACTTGCACGACCTCCAAATAGTTCAGAAACATACATGTATGTCACTGAGCCATTTGAGGCAATGCAGTATAAGGCCTTGTAGATATTGTGGTTTTTGTAGTTGGAATATGTTTGGATACGTTTTCTCAAGTCCTTGGGTCTTTGAACAAAGACTTCTGTACAGTCTATGATACACATAGCCCAGGGATGTTATAACTTTATAACGGGGATGGGAGTTACCTTGGGGTGCTAGTAGTGGGTGTCAGATATCGCTGAGTTTGAAACCGATGTCTTGGGGGAAAATGTTGTGCCAGAAAATCTTCATGGCATCTCATATTCTTCTTGGGAGCCAGTTCTGGATGGGGGCGATGATTTCTGTGTTGTCCCATTTGATGTGATGGTCTGAGGTGTGTGCATGTTTGACGATGGCTGACTTCTTGTATTGTCCTTGTCAGCCATGTGCACGGTGTTCTTGGAGCCTGGTGGGGAGGTTTCTGCCAGTTTCTCCAATGTATACTTGGCGGCATTCATATGGAATGTGATATACACCAGGGCAACTGCTGGGTGGGTGCTTGTCCTTGTGGGTGTGCAGTACAGACTGCAGCTTGTTAGGTGCCCAAAGACCCCACCCAAGCCATCGAGAAATGCAATGCCAGCAAGCTCCTAACCCTCCACCGTTCCAACACCATTCCAGCAGCTCTGTACTGTCACCTCCGCCCGTCGGCATCTTCCTGTCCAAGATTCTTTGATCAACCCAAGATGCACAAGCCAGATATCCCCCTGCATCCCATTGTGTCATCGCGTCCCGGGGTGACTGCTGGGTGGGAGCTTGTCCTCGTGGGTGTGAAGTGCAGCCTGTAGCTTGTTGGGTGCCGAGTGATAGACTCGCATGCTGGCCCACTGTAGGATACAGTGGAGTTGGTGGGAAGATGGGGCCCGGGTACAGTAGACAAACTGTGGCGATGGGGGGTTTGGGGGCTTTGGGTATGGGCGACCCTAACTCTGTGGGAGAGGATGGGACTTGACTTCGGGTATAGGGGACCCTAGTGTCCTTTGAGGAGGCTTAGAAAGGCTGATACACTTGTGGTGGTAGCCGTTCATTTGCAGGGCAGTCTTGATGTGCTCGAGTTCTTGGCGGAGGTTGCTCTGGGTGCAGATCTTGAAGGTTCTGTGGACAAGGGTGCAGTTCAGTGATGTCTTGATGGCTGGTTGGTGGAAGGATTGCTGGTGCAGGTGCCGATCGGTGTGGTTGGGCTTTCCTTGGACATGGTGGTTGAGGGTGCCATCTGGGTTCCTCAACAGGTATACATCCAGGAAGGAAAGTTGTCCGTCTTGCTCTTGTTCCATGGTGAACTTCATGGTGGGGTGTTCTGGTTGAGATACTCAAGGAATTCAGGGAGGTGATCTTGTCCATGGGGCCATATGATGAATGTGTCTTCAACACAGTTCAGTCATAGGCTGGGTTTGAGGTTGGCAGTGAAGAGAGATGGCATTTCAAATTCTTCCATGAAGATGTTAGCTAGGACCAGGGATATAGGAGATCCCATGGAGGTTCCATCTGTCTGCTCGTAGAAGTTGTCTTGGAACCAGTTTCAAATTCACTGACATCCAGCCCCAGTGCACGTGTAGCAGTTACACAACCCACGAATCCCGTTTCGAGCTTCATGCCTCTGGATCAGCTTTATAACCCAGCTCTCCACTCCAATCCAGCACACTCTCCTGAGGATGGCCAGAGCATCCTGGCCGAAACATCGAGTTTACACTCACTAGTTCTTCTAAGAACCACACCTCTTCCAAAAGAGATCGATTCCATCTTGTACCCACAAGCCTAGATTTCATGTAAAATTCCACCATGCAAAGTTTCAAATCTTACAGAACTTACATTGCACTAGTTGATAATTACTGGCTTCTACATGTATGCATAAGTTTATCAAAGGAAATGTGAGAAATTATGAAGTGGAGAAAAAAAATGCCAACCAATGGAAAATACCAACCAATTCCTTTTTCAAAGAGGAAAGATTTTACTTAATATCCCCATCAAAATCACACTGGAACAAGAAAATCTTTCAGACCAACTATCCATCCATGAGTTCAGGATTGCAGTACAAATACTAAACATCACTACTTTCAAATTTAATCCTGAATTTAATTTTGGTTTATCCCTTTGTCTTGCAACACCACATCATGGATTTCCCAGAATCCAACTTACAGTACTGTATTTGGATTGCTTAAAGTCCTTTTGGTTGATATTCTCCCATTGTTTGCATCCCACTAGAGATACAGCATTATAACAACTTGGGAAATCCAAGTTTGAACAGTTTTGAACCAAAGAGTGAGTGTGCTTATGCAGAATGTCAAGTATTGGAATAATTTTGCACATGTACACGTATTCAAGCGCTAATGTTGAAAATAAAAACATTTCATGGATTATATGCTGTACTGATTGCCATTTAATCACAGGGACCTGAAATACATGTACATGCACTCTGTACATGTGCCTAAACGTGTTCAAATAATTTTGCACACAACTGTATGTTGTGAGTGGAAGGTGACAATTATTGATATGTGCAGAAACTTAAATACTAAAAAGTTGAGTTGAAAACTGTGCTCAGCTTTAATTGCATTTATTTTAATTTCATGGAGTGATCCAATTGATACTTTGTCTGGATTTCATTAAGGGAACAGGTCACAAATAAAGAATGTCTCTTGGATGTATGTATTGGGTTACCAAGTGTTTCCCAGATAAAATAATAAATAAATAAATGCTAATAAGCTAATAAACCTACTGGTTGGAGTGCCTCTCACATTTTTACACAATTACTATCCATATTATTTCATAACACTGTGAGAATCTTCCAAACTTTGACATGAACTGCTTTTTTGGGCTTGATTTTAACAGAGAGTTTGTTTAATCGGCTTGTTGTGCATGCACTGGCATGGTCTCAAACACAAGATGGGACAGAGCAACTGCCCAGGATTGCTTATAGATATGTTTGTTTCCCTGCTGACGGTGACCATGATGTTGAGATGGAAATGTCACCTCTCAAGCAGGCCCACATCAAGGTAAGTTGGATTATAGTAGCCATTTCACAAAGCTTGGCATGACCTTCCACTATTCATGAGCTATATGCAGAAAATTAGTGGGGTAGATACACAGTGAACTTACAATCAGTTTTAGAGAAAGATGTGTACCTGTGCAGAATTTTAAATATTTTTATGTCATACCAGTTTGCGCTTATAACACATCTTAGTTCATGTCTGAACCAAGTTTCAACCTCCTTGGATAGATTGGGGTTATGTAATCAGTTTGCTCAGAGCATCAAACCAGTCTAGCAGTGGCATTTTGCAGACACTCAGTTTATACGGTCTCTGTATCTCAATGACCAGAAGCAGTGGCACTGGAAGCAGGGCCAGTGCCCCCCCCTCACATTTTTGACTGGCAGGTCCTATAATTTGGTGGGGCTCAATGGATTGAGCCCTTTATGTATATGGCTGATGTCTGATGGTCTAACAACTGGCCCCCCACTATGAAAGTCATTCTGCCGCCGGTGACCAGGAGGCTAATGGGGACATACCAGAGGCTGATGTAGCAATCAATTCTGCAGGTGATGAGGGGATTCACCAGTTTCTTCGTAGAAGATTTATCAAGATAGCTTTGGATCTTGCTGTTGTAGATAAATGTCCATCTCACACAAGATGCTATTGACACGGGCTGTAAGCATAGTTCACTGTTGGATATTATGTCAAGGTTGCGAGCCCATCATCAGACCAATGAAGCACCAATCATGACCGGTGAAAGGATCAGAGAATTAAAGCGAGACTTGAATTGGAATATCTTGGTCTTCTCATCATTGAGCTTCAGCTTAATGACAGCCCACCACCTGAGCTCCTTCACATAGCCTCCCAGTCATTGAATGGCACTTGCAGCTTCGGACGGCTGAAAGATTAAGTACACTTGTGTGTCATTGGCGTACATGATGTGTCTAGTCATGATGTCATTGAGTGAGGCAGTGGAGAAAGTTAACTGGGAAGCACTGCAAACTGAGCCCTATGGCACATTCATGACACTAGATGCACTTAGACTTAGGCTTTTTAATCAGAGGAATGACACGAGCTGATTTAAAACTTCAAGGAACAAACCCAGATGTGAGGGACATGTTGATAATTTTGGTTATATCAGGAACAGGACATTTTCTTAAGGAGTGTGGTCGGAATAGGAACCAGATGACAGCTCTCCAAAGGCAAATTCATAATCAGCTTCTGAACTTCATCCTCTAAGACAGCCTCAAAGTTGGAGAACAAACAGACGTACTGCTTATTTGGGAGTGCCGAAGAAACCCCACTGACCAATGAATCTACGTTGCTTCTAATGCTATGAATTTTCCCTAAGAAGAAGTCGAAAAACTCTCTGACCAGAACTTATGGGCACTCGTGCTGGTGGGCATTAGGACCTCTCAGGATTAATCAATGATTCTACAATTCTGAACAACTCCCTGCTACTACTGCTGGTTATCAGAGAGTTGTGACGAGGCCTTCCAGAAAACTCAAGGCACCTTTTGTACACTCTATGGTGCTCAAGGTAGATCTGATGATCCTCCTGTAGGCTGAAACATCTGTACTGTTGCTCTGCTTTTAATTTCTTTCCATATGTGCATCAACACTTCCGCCAAGCATTGCATATCACAATGCATACGTGTGGTATGTTAGGGAGTCTATATTTGTGTCCGTGGAGGTGCAACACGTAACCTATCATGCACCCAAGGCACATATGAAAAGGCGCCTTTATTCTGCAAAGCTCCTCAGAGAACCAAGGATATTTTGGCCTGACAGTGATGTTCTCACTAACAGTAGGAGGCTGTTTGCCAATTATGTCTCACAGAGTGGCATCAAACTGATCAGTAAGCTTGGTGAGATCTGCTTAAGGTACAATAGACTGCAAGGAAGATTCAGTATCGGCTTTGAACTTTTCCAAGTCAAGCTACAAATATGCAAAGGAAAAACAAAGTCATTCGCAAAAGTTTAAGACCACCTGAAATTTTATTGGTATTTCTGTCACTGGGCATGCATTACATTGTCTCATTGAATGATTTCTTAACATGTTTTTACAGTGGTGCATAACATCAGTGTAGTGCTGTCCATTTGAATGAATTTTTGCAAATGCAGGTTTTTTGTGACATTTTGTCGTTAAGGCAGCATGGGTAAAAAAGTCAGTCTAAGTAATCAGAAATAAAGGAGGGCGCACTAAATATTAGACTGTTAACATTTAAAATCAGGGAAATTTTGTCAAATAGATGGAAATACACAAACTCCTGGTTTCACTGCAGTGAGCCCACTATCACTATGCTAACAGTGGTGCTAGCACAACACAAGGCATGCACAAAGCCTATTGGACTGTGGGTTTAGTGTTGAATGTGGAAGTGACGGACTGCTGGTAGGGTCTTTTCATCATCGATGGGTTTCATTTATGAGTGATAAGACAAGCCCAAAGCCTTGGGAATTAATGCCAATACTTTATCATATGATGGGCATTCAAGATTGTGTCTCTCAGGGTTGATATTTTTGCAATTTTTGAAAATTAAAGGTCTTTGCATTACAACTTCTGGTCTGATGATATTATCAGTCTGAATTGTCAGACTTGCATTGTCAATTTTCAATCAATTACTGGAAACTTTGCCACTGACATCAACTCAAATACATCTTTGAGTATTTCAACCTGTGGCAATAGGGCACTCAAGTATTTCATGAAATTTTCAATTCAAGTTTTGAAAAATGCTATTCAACTTGAGACAAATACCTTTGCAAACAAATTCGTGTCTTATACCAATTTTAAATCATACCGCGCCTCCAGTTTCAATCAATAGCAAGGGTCAGGTGATTGTACCTGCCCCAGATAAAAATGTATAAAAAAATTCAATGTTCTCCATCACTTCTGGAAACAAAGTTAATATGCAGAAGCTCACAATTGATGGTTTTTAAAGATTAAAAATGTCAAACTTTTGATGATGTCATCATGATGTAATTGCTGTAAATACCCTTTTTTATTAAAGCTTTTGAAAACTGTACAAAGTTTAGTAGTTAAAATTAACATTCAAAATTCAGTAATGAATTATCTGATGACATCATCATGATATCACATTTCTATTGCCATTTTTGTATTATAGTCTTCCTCTGGTGTGACACTGAAAATGATGCAAGCGTACTAAGTGACAAAAGAAACATTTGTACACAGCAAATGGCCTTTGATGAGTAGAATATGAAGATCAAGAAAGAATATAATTAGGAGCAAAAAAATGGCTTTTCTGCTCTTTGTTGAAAAGCGAAAAAAAACGAGCAAAAGCAATGCTCATTTCTGCACTTTGCATGCAGAAAGCCAATTAAAACATATCTCTTGTCATTGTATCTGTAATGGGAGATTAGACTGTTGTGAATGCCTGATAACCCAAAAGACAGTGATTTTTTTGCACAAAAAGTCCTGTGAATTTTCTGTATTGAAGGGATTAGACTTTAAAACTGTTCCAAAAGTCTAACGAGGATTTCCCTTTCAGTTGCAAAGACAAACTACTGCTACACGATTAGAACTCAACTCGAATTCAGGCGTTTTTACTTATCTATCCTTGTTGTCTTGTCAGGTATGTGTATCAAAGCATGCAGTAGTCAGCACATCAGCACGAGGGCCTACAAGATTGATTAAATCACAGTCGACACCATCACCTCTTGTAATGTGTAAGGTATGGGTGAGAATGAAATGCATTGTAGAGTTACATTTAGTTCTTGCTTCTCTCTGGTGTCTCAATAGCAAGCAAAAGATGAACAAGGAGAGCTTCTGCTCTGTATTTTGACTGTACATGTACACAACTGGCATGTGGCTGTGGCAAATGCTGGTATTTGTAAATATACTGAGTAGGTGTTTTAAGGTGCAATGAGTGCCAGAGTTTGTCATATGTGGTGCACTTCAAATGGATGTGGACCAACACCCCCCTCCCCCAAACAAAGAAACAGAAAAAGCCTTTGTTGAATTATAAGGAGGGCAAATATGCAGTCAGGTATGTATAAGTGTACAAAGTAATGTACAGTGATTAGCAGCCACTTCCCATGTTAATAAAGAAATTCTACTCAGTTGACAGATGTTAGTGAAAATGTTGGTGAAAAAGAATTTATTCAGACAAGATAGAGGACAATAAATAAATTGTACCATGTGAAGCAGAGTTGGCAAAAATTTCTGAAATGTTCAGGCACATCACCAATGTCTAAGGGGAGAAATGCTTTTCCTGCCTCTTGCCCCGCCTTCCCCATTTCTGCTGCCTGGTAAGCAATATACATGAAATTATTATGACTTAGTGTTTTCTCATGCATCTGAAATGGAAAGCATAGTTTTTCAAATGTCCTAAATATATAGACCTTAATTACGTATCGACAAGTATGCTCTGAACTATTGGGCAACCCAACATCATATCATCTGCAATGTTCGCACCTTGTCTGGCCAGTTATTCTTTATCGAAGTTCTGTTCACTCCCTCTAGGTCAAGGATTTTCTCGTTGCTACATTTGACGCAATCAAGTCTATGTCAGCTATAGGGCTCAAGTTTGGCTTCTCTATACCATGCCCTTGTGATCCAGAGGGCTCTCTACACTTTCTGCCACTGAATGACTGCCTGGAGAAGGAACGGATAGGTTGCCAGCTGTCTGGTGTAAGAATAGACACCATGGGAGTTAAACAGATGTTTGCTGACCTGGGTACATTGCCAGCAGAGATACTTGGTAATAGTGTTATTATTCAACATGTGGGGAAGAAACAAATCTGAAAAGTCACTTTTTTGTAAAAATTACATTGTCTAATAAAGGGGTTCTAAGTCAGTTTATATTAATGGAAAATATGCTTATGAAAACCAAAATGTTAAGCTAAGAATGTATCTTGGACTTCTGCAGGGTTAGCGAAAGAGGGGGTTTAGTTGTCAAAGGAGAGAGTGTTAATTGTTTCCCTTCCTTTTTTAGGCCGCAGAGTGCCTATTCAGAGCATTTATATGTGCCAGTGCTGTATCAAGTTAAATAACACATACATGTACTTCAGTCTTTCAAACTTATTGGTTATTTAGATATTGTTCCTGTGTATTTTATGATGTACCATTGTTTTTTTTTTTTTAAAGGAGTCTTAACAAATTGGAAACATCGGTTATGTCTTACTGAAATTATTTCAGGTGCTAGTTTTTGTGAAATGCACAATAAAATTTTTGTGTACTTCCTTAAAACTTGTATGTCCAATGCGTCATTTTTCTCAGATCCATATGTAATGAGCGAGAAACATCTGAGAGCAGTTGCTGCTGAGCTTGGCCCTGAATGGCAGCACCTAGCAGTCAACCTGGGCTTCAACCAGTCCAATCTCTACAGGTTCAAACACGACAACAGCATCATAGATAATGCTATCTTTAGCATGCTAGTGACATGGTCACACAGAGAGGGACAAGATAAGGGGAAGAAACTGCAAGTACTTAGTGAAGCAATGGTTGCATGTGGACGAAGAGATGTAGTTGAAACATTGCTGCATCCTTATATGTAGATTTAAAAAAATTATTGCTCATGAGAAATTGAAATCAAAGTTTTCTCTTGTTTGAAAATATAACAGTGTTGTAAGAATAAGTAACAGAAACTTGAGTGTATCTATGGAGGATGAAAAGTGGCCATTTGCTTTTCTGCTGCCAGAATGGTAGAAAAACAGATTTTATGTTCTGGTAACATGCAATTTTGACGTTTGTACTTTTCTGCCACCTCAAAAAGTAGAACAAGCATTGTTTTATGTATTTTTCTATTTTTCTGCTTCAAGAAAAGAGATGTTACTTTTCCTTTGTTCGCTTTCGTCGCAGCCATCTGCTTTTTTCCTCTCAAAAAGGCAGAAATGAGGACCAAACATTTTGACAACCATGAATTCTACTTTTTTGCTTTTGTGATACTGGAGGAGCAAATTTATATAGGTGGCCGAAAAGTGGCCATCTGCTTTTCTGCCTTCCAAGGGTCATGAAAGGGGGTCGTGAATCTCAGGTTATGACCATTTTCCTTTCTTGGGGATTGAAGACGTATAAACCAATAATTAAAGTCTACCCTATCTTTAATAATGAAAGATTCACGTTTTCCTTGGCCCAAGCAAGCTTGTGTTTCTATTGGATGATAGCTGTAAAACTGTATTTCCTTTGAGACGCTGTTTTTTCTGCCTCACAGGGACACTGATACTGCCATATGGGATTGGTCCGCAGAATACATGGTTAAGTATTGGTTTCTACATCTTCACTCCCCCAGAACAGAAATGGTTGTAACCTAGAGGTTCACAACCCCATTCACTGCCCATTAAGGAAAGAAAAGCAGATGGCCACTTTTCGACCACTTATGAAAAATCTGCTGCTCCAGTATCTCAAAAGCAGATAAGTTGAATTCATGGTTGTGGTCAAAATGTTCAATCCACTTTCCTGCTTGTTTGACAGGTAAAAAGCATATTGTCTCTTTTTGGTTGCCATCAAAAAGAGGAAAAGTAAGACTACTTTTGCAATAGCAGAAAAGCATTACAATAAAATGGTCATTCTGCTTGTGAGGTAGCAGAAAAGTAGACACGTCAAAAATTGCATGTTGCAAAGACATAAAATCTGCCAATCTACCATTCTGATAGCAGAAAATCAGATGGCCACTTTTCGTCCTCCATATGTATCTTCACATGGCATCGCTCACAGAAGTATATGTGGAAGAATTATTTATTTGGGGAATTTGGCTTACAGTTATATTACATCACAGTGATGTTGCTATCATTTTATACCTCGTTTGTGTTGTGTAAATTAAGACTGGTGTGAATGTTGAGCTTATTGGTTGATATGATGTATTGCTCATTTGACAGTCATGAGCCTTAGATGAAAGCAGACATTTTCACTGCTTCTGAGATTTCAACGGTTGCTTTGGACTATTATGACTCTTCCTTTTCTGTTCTTAATTTGGTAGGAATCCAAGCAAATGCAGACAGGGCACAAAGCTAAATCCATGTCGGGTTCATAAAGGCAAGAATCTGCTTATCTTCAACTTTAAGGTGTTTTACATCAGATGCATGTAATGTTTCAGTTACCAATTGCTGACTTTACTTTGTGCACTTGAGGGGTTTACCAGCATTGCTATGTAATTGCCAGTGGTTTTGCATAATGTAACAAATCACAGCCCACTGATAGTGAAGTTATGCAGCATGCAGCAAAATGTCTGTTCACTTATTTTGACTTGATCTCAAGGTTTATCTCTATAGTAGAATCCCTTGCAGAATAAGTTTGAAGATTGTAATGAAATTCAGATGTGTTCAAATCGTACATTGGTTCTCAAGGCCACATTGTAGGAATTTTGCATGTAAGTTTATGTTGGTACATGTAACTTGCTTTTATGTCATTGCTTATGATACGGTCTACGTTTAGGATTAGTGTACATGTAGTGTTAGCTATTTTCTAGATTATATAGTTTGATACTTTTTAGTGGAATGATAACAATATCTCTGAGATTTAGCCTTTGGAACTTACACTCTTCCAAACATTTTCATCACTGTTCTGGCTTGTGTGGCTCCTAATCTTTATCATTGAAACAAATGCATTTGTCCTTCACTGATGTGAACAAATCATGTTGATATTCTGACTTTAAAATGGTTTTTGTATGAAGAATCTCAAGAAATTTAAAGTCTGATTCTTGTCTGAATGAAAGCCTCCCTTCTAAGTTACCGAGGACTTGCAAATTTTGCCAGCCAACTGCATATATGTGAATGAGCAAGGCTAGGGTGGGCTAAGGGGATCCAAACACCCCATCCAGCCCAGCCCAAGAGTTCCATTTGTTTTTCTTTCTCTTTTTTTTTTGGGGGGGGGGCTGTTTTCGTTGTTCCCATGTTTTGTTTTTCCATGCCGTGCACTTCACACAGTTTTGCGCAAGACTATTTGCATTTTGCCTTTATTAGCAAAACTGTATTCTTTGACCTCGGTTCTGTTGGGATTCCCGCAATCAGTCAATAATAGACCAATTACGCCAGCTTCGCTGTGGGAGGCCACTGTGTTTGCTGATGTTTGATACCCACTATACTATAGGTCACATAACTTAGCAGGCACACTTAGTCTATTGGTTTTATTTTGCATTTTGTACTTTTTTAAAATGAAAGTTAAGTTGAAATTCAATTTTCTTTGACCCACCCTTTACATTTGGGAAAAAATTGACATTTAAAAAACATTGTTAATATTGTGTGACCCCAAAATAGAAATGATTTGTTCATGAAAGCAGTACTGATTTTTTTATTATTTTGGTACCTGATGGCTATTTTTTACATGAAAATGGATCTTGCCATAATCTATTCACGTGTGCAATACATATAAATATGAATAATCAGAAGTTTGTTTTATGTCCGTTATGAAAAATATTTAGAGTAAGCCATATAAAACGACTTTCTGCTTCACCTAGTTACATAGGATGAAAAGTGGCCACCTTCTTTTCTGCTATCAGAATAGTAGGAAAGCAGATTTTCTCTCTTTGCAACATGCAATTTTCAACTCTTTACTCTTCTGCTGCCTGAAAAGCAGACTGAACATTTTGTCGTAATGCATTTTTTCAATTTTTCTGCTACCAGAAAAGTAGATTTTACTTTTCCTCTATTTGTTGGTGGCCAAAAAGTTGATGTCTGCTCTTGCCTATCAAAAAAGCAGTAAAGTGGATCAAACATTTTGACAACTGTTTGTTCTACTTTTTTGCTTTTAGGATACCGGAAAAGCTGATTTAACTTATTTGGCTGGAAAGTAGCCACCTACTTTTCTCCTTTTGGGCACGCAGAAAAGTAATATTGACAACATTGAATCCTCTGTTTGTGCTTTTTTGATACAATGCAGATTTTTAAGTAAATGGCCAATGCCTCAAGTGCTGACAGTCAAACTCCAAACTCTTTGAGACACCAAATACCAGGGCAAGCTTTGCCCAATCAAATTAAAGAGAGAAGTACTGGGTGGATGATAGTAGTTTTGCAGTGTGATTATATAAGCGTATGATACTCAACCATTTTGGTGGTTAACTTAAAATACAACACAGAGATTAATCTGCTTGCGTAAAATGATGGAATGTCATTACCATCCCCTCTATTTCATCACTACTCAGAGACGAACATCAAAGCACCTTGGCCTTGAAGGATTTGAATTTTCAGGTTCAGATCCAAATGCGTATTTATGCAGTAGTCATGAGGTAAAAAAAGCCATGAAATTATTCTGGGTGTAAAAGCTGTAGAATAATCTTGAAATTATAAATACATGTAGCCTAAAATCTAACCCGTACACAAAATACATCATTTATTAATATTAAAAGACATATTCCAATATAAAATAAGACTTTTTTTAACTAATAGTGTAGCTGAACGTGTACGAGCTTTCTTAGGTCTTTAGTGCATAATGAGGATTACTTATTAGTGCATGTGTGTCGGAAGTGGCAGCGCTCCGCTAGCACAGGTAGCCACACTTGTACAAGACACAGCACAGAACAGTCAGGATGTAGACCAAAAAGGTAGTAATATGCATGATAAGAAAGGGCTTTCTAGAAAAGTTAATAAATCCAACTCCGAATAGTTGTACAATTTTGTATTTAACATCTGACAGTTTATCAAAGTTGTGACTTTTCCAGAAATATCAAACTTGTGTGACAATTTCTATCGAAGTACTAAAATAAACTCTTTGTACCATTACAATGAGTTACAAACAATTATTCTTACAGTTTGTGGGCACTGCAATTGTCTGCAGTTTGTCGCAAAGCCCTATGTTAGTGACAGCCCCACTCAGATATAAGGAAAGATGTTTAGCAAAGAGATCAGGAGAAATGGTAACCCCAACAAGCACAAGGCTCTTTGGTGAAATTTTAGCTCGCAGAATGAAAGAGCTTGACAACTGGTGATCGTGTAAGGAAAAGACCAAAAACAAAGTCCAGATCCCAAATATCGCAATGTACAGTATCTTAATTATCTGTTTCACACCAAGGCAAAGGAAGTTATTTACATGTGGGGGTGCTGTTCCATTTTACTGGTGTTCCTTCCGCCACCTAACGAATCTGTCATCCGTCAAGGGAAATAGTTCATGCATTATTAAATAAAAGGCTCTTTTTACACACTTTATTATTTAATTTTCAGAATGGAAAGATCGTTATGTGCAATTTCTTAAAAAGATTAATTTGATTTGTTGTTCAAACAGGTTTTTTTTCATACTTGGCAATTGATGGCAATAAACCAATAAAGTCATTGCCTGGCAACACCCAAAACAACCACACCGAGATCTCGCCTCTTCAATGAGTTTACTACAGTAGTATGCTACGTAGCAAGACGTAGACGACTAACTGACCATGGGTAGCACACCTCTGCAATATACACCGTACTTGCACTTCATTTCACTAATCAAAAGACCACACCCAATTGAACAAATCCATCCAAGTTCAAAACCTAGAGCCCCAAGTACTTAATTCAAATATCAATGATATCACAAACTGAAACAAATATTTAAATCCAGACTACATTGATCCAAAGTAGCTTTTTTTTAAACAACCAAATCTGGGAAACAAAATAAAAATGTACATTTAGGAACAATGAAACTAATCATTTTAAACGATAAAATGGGCTGAGACCTGACAGTGTGAGTGTTTGCGTGACCTATCACTTCGGTACTCTATAGTGTGTACGTGTGTGTCGTTATGTAAGAAGTGAGTGGACTGTCTC